TTTTCATCCGACATTTTTCGATACAGAGTCATTTCCAAATTAGGTACTGAACTTTCAAAAGCACTGAATTTCTTCAGTTGGAGTTCACCAATTCTTCAAAATCAGTGGCAATGAAGCCTAAGCTATTTAGTTTGGATTTTAAGTTTGAGGTGGAAAATAACAGCAGCTCAAAGATATGGTGTTGAAAATGGAAAACCGCGGTGATGAAGGTTTCAAATACGTTCCTCATGAAAGGGAGTATTCGGATCAGTGGCATACAAACATACCATGACAAGCAATCGCACTATGATCGATAGTTTCAAAAAAAGGGCTGCGCCTGTGACCTAAGAAAATTCCTTGGAATTCGAATAAAAAGATGACATGAAAACCAACTTGACATGACAACATCTTCATTTTGTATGGTTCATTTCTTTTCCGGAGAGCTTCCCATACCGGCTTGAGTTGAGCGGCAACCTGTAAAAATGACTAAAGTTAACTACGGCAAAACGCGGCATGTGAATCTGCAAAACAAATTGAAAATGGTCAAATTGACACACTTTTGTAGAAGTCTTAGCTGAACGCAGACATTTGACTTTAGGATTCCTTTAAATGAAAATATTTCCAAATAGTCACTATGGTTCAAAAAATGGCTGATTTTTACACAGTGTGTGTGTAACACGCTCCCTCCTATCTGTGCACTCTGAAATTATAACTGGCGGGGTGAAGGGAAGCACTATTGAGGAATCTGGAACATTTGTAACTTTGGTCAACACATTGGGCAATTTTGTGAAGCCATGTGAAACTAAGAACTAGTACATTTTTCACTGCAGATCATTTCTCTGCTTCTTTTTGTGATCGGTGTTCAGTGGCAGAAAGCATAAAGAAACGGTTGTGAGCCATATGATGAGGACTCCTGACTGGAGTTCAGCATGAAAGAACCAGTTCCCCCGAGGGACCAATATCCAATGGATGATTATGTGGATATTAGTTCCTCCAAACATTCACAATGGAAGAAGATGCTTGTGCTTGGTGAACAGTGATTAAATCTGCCTACAACGTTGGCCCGAAAAATTGTATTATGTTGTCCCATAAATCTTAATATCTTTCTTGAAATCCCGTTCGAACTGAGGTTATCGTCGAGAAAAGTCAAATCTAATGGAGAGTGGCGTGGATCCTTCAACCACAAATTCCAAAAACAAAACAAGATTACAGAACAACTAGCTGGGAGTGCAAATAGACCAACACCCTAGCCCCGGATTACAGTTTACAAATAACATTTGGAGAGCTGTACATGAGGGACGGACGAAAAGATCAGCGTATTCTAGGCGCAATAACATCTACTGAACGGTAAGGTAATGGTATAGCTCGTCAAGCGCGCTACGATCTGAGGAAGTCATATTGCCCTGGATGTTCACCATAAATAACGACCCCCGCTCCATAAACTGCCGGTGCAATAAGATGCTTTTGTAGGCGTTTTAGAGCAGACACTTGGACACGAGTGTAGCAACATGGTTTCTCATATGAATGGACCACACCCTGAAGCTACAACTCTACGCATTGGCCGCTCACTTCCGAGCAACGCCCCTCACTATCCGGAAAGACTTCCTCTTTAGCCGCATGTGAAGGACTTCCATGAGCCGATCACTAGTGAAGAGCAGGGTTCACTGCAAGAATAAAGCGCACGCATGCTTAGTAGCTGGTCCCAGCCTACCAAGGCTAAAGTTCCACAGTAAAGAACAATGCAGTGGTTCTTGAAATTTGACATTGCATGCGGTTCTAAAAGCTTAATTTCGAAGACGCAACCAATGCCTATATTTATGCGGGAAACCACCGAATCTGGCCGTAGGAGCGTCGAATGAAAGTCCGAGAAGGCTCAGTTGCTATCCTTTCCAGGAATGAGACTCGACGTCACATTGCAAAACGACTTCCCACATTATAGAAAACCCGGGCCTGAGCCGATATTTCTCCACTGGACCATCAACTAAAGCGTGATCTACCCCAGCAGCTGGTGTGAGAAAAGAAATAACTACAATCATTTCGAAAACACCCCATCGAAATCGCAGAGCGTCACTTCTTTCTGCTACATGAGCCAGATCATTACATTCTGGCCCCAATCATATGACGAACTATCAATGATATAAATGCTCAAACTATGACTACTGGTTGACTTAAATGTCTATTCAGAAAAGATGGAAATCTGAGCTAACAAATCATAATATCACATATAAATTTTATAACAATAATAGTAACTAAGGCTAGAGAGTCCGTCACTATTTGTTTGACCGTTGGATACAGACTATCAGCCGCCCAAACCTGAAAAGGTGTGATCCGATGTATGCGCAATAACATCCACGCTAGTCCACTACATTACTATTAGTTTCAGCCGCTTGCACATTTTATCACTAATTTTTTAGCGTAATAAGGGACGAGAGTTTCCGTCCCTGTAGCCGGCCGGCACCAAACATTCCTGAACCATTCTTTCTAGACGCACTTCGGCTCAATCATCAGACTGCCGGCGTCAAAATAAAAAGGAGCCTGCGTAAGGGACGCTAGGCGGCTCCAGTTAATCGGGCAATCCTTTCACAGATAGTCAGTACTCGGCCAAAGCGGGGAGGCCGGCCGCAGTCACGCAGAACCGGAGGTGAGGACTGCTACTTGCTTTCCGAATTGACCATTTGCACGGACTTACGATCCGAACTCAGCCAAAATTGAAATGGCACTCTGTCTTGTATTGCCTAGGTCTACATTTCGCGAGGATGACGTTCATAGTTTGCCCGAACACTGGCAAGGAAGTAAGACCATGGCGCATCAGTCGTTGAGGCGTTTACGTTACTCTGAGAGAAAAAATATCAAAAAAAATGTGATAGAACTGTCACACTTTTCCGCCAACCCGATGTTGACAAAAGTTCACGAACACGTCCCACTACCGTGGAGACAAGTGCTGAGAACTTGTTTTATAGTGTGGTTCGCTGCGGACGGTTGGGCGTGTCAGGCGGGATGAGTTTGGCGCGGTGCCAAACCGGTTTCCAGTTGTTAAAGCGAGCAAGTGATATGACTGTATCATCGTTCGTATTACTCGTTTTCTACCACTTTTTGTCGCATGCGCGCTTCAACAAGAAGGCAGAGAACGGCTTTGACGGACGTGACACACTCATACTGCCTGACACGCCCAACCGTCCGCAGCGAACTGGAGTATAAACAATCGTATCATCACGTTAAGCATTCTAATTCTGAGAGCAAACCTCAACGAGTTATCGCCTAGATTAACGAGAGCTTCCATACGGCCCCGCTGGTTACTAGATCTAGAAAATCAAGCCATTTGATTGATCAGAATTTTATTTCCCAACGATATACAGGTTGAATCAGGGTCAAGCATGGAGGAAGTTTTCCCTCAGAATCAGAAAAAAAGACCGCGTCATGGGACTGGTAGAGCGGGTGTAGCGTGCCTGCGAAGGGAACAGTCAACAATCCGAAAATATTTGTTAGCCCATATACGACTCCCTCCGTAGGGACTAAAAATGACCACCGAAGATTGCTAAAGGTGCGCTAACCTATGTGGAGCATGCTCCTTTGATGAACGCGAACTCAAAAACTGTCAGCTATCAGTTGAGTGATGACTGACTGGATGTATCAGGAAGCAAGTCAGAGCTGTGGAACAAGTAAGTACATTTGACATAAAACCAGTCAGTAGAATTCTAGCAGCCTTCAAACCTTGTCTATTCATTCAGAAGCACATCTTTCCCTATCCATTTGCATAAGCGGATTCGCTACGCCCCATTTCGTCACATTTACACTCCAGTACTACCGCGACTGTATCAGTGGGTAAATGGACTTGGGGAAGTTGTCCCTAACGTGTTATGACACGTCATACAACATGTTTTAACACACCTGTCAATGAGATATGTTGTCAGATGACATACACTAAACGTAAGAGATTGTTATCGGCAAACGGTAACGGCCGTCTAACCATATTGCTACCATAAACTACGATAGCTTTGCTCATATGAATGTGTTAGATTGTCGGGAATGTACTGCCACATTTTTTTCGAAATAGCATTTCTTTTTATAGAGGAATACAAGATCAAAACTGCAGCGTTGTTACAGAGGGGTTCTAGCCAGTTTTTGAGCACGCTGTGGATGCCATCGCTTCACAGTTAAGGCCGAAGCATTTCTATGTTAAACATCATCTCGATTTTGACTTTGCTCGGGTTGTGAAGCTTTCCTCGTCTGTGTAACGAGCTAGTTCAGGAAGGTATAAGTTGGAGTTGGACAGTTGGAAGAAGCAATTCTGGGCTTCACCAGAGCAAGGAGGGAGAAATCCAGCCCTATCGCATCAAACTCGGCTCAATCTTTTGTGCACGGGCTGGGCTGCACCGCCATGTTGGAGGCAGACTGTGCGGATAAATTTGCTCTCATCGGAGATTCGCTTCAGATCTGATACCTGCGCTGTGTGTGGATTGACCGTAGAAGCAGCTTCTCCATCGTAGTTTCACGAGCCGCATTCTCCCTCAAGCTGAGTTCACATGGACATTCAAACATTACTTCGTCTTAAAAAGTGTAGGCTTCTGCTTTGAAGCACTGGCTTCATGGAAAATTGTCCGATCATTGAGGGCTTCGTCCCTATGAAGCTCCTTTATTTCGGCATCGGCAGCTCTCATGCTCGCGGTACAGGACGCGATACTTGTCGTCATTGCAAAGGAAGAAGCACGAGACATGTGAACGGTATAATACGAAGTATCCTATTAGGTATTATTGCTCACATTTTCGTTCACACCTCCTTACTATATGGGCTAGTTTTTTGAGTTTGAAAGGCATGTCAGAGCTTTCCCGCTGACCTAGTAATAATCAGTCATGTCTAGAAAACGATAAGCTGATTCAGGGAAATAAAAAAGCGTTGCACAAATCCGCACTGCACAGCGTGTAGAATTGAAGATGAGGACTAAAAGGCAAACTCCTACCTGTTTATAAGTTTCAATATTCTTTGGTGTCTCTGGCAGATTCCTAGCATGCACAATGTCGCAGTAGGTTGACTCCTGAACCAAATCTTGTCCTATGTCCAGAAGTAACTTTGTCATATGTGGAGCATTGTTGTGTAGCTAAAAAAATAAAATATAACAGTAGTCAACAATGACAAGCTGCCCATTAATTGAACCTTTAATGATTGTCGTTCCTTCTTCTCTGTGTCATTAAGTTTAGGTCGCTCCTCTCCGAACATCCTGGTGATTACTTTCGAAAGGGGGTGATCCGGATCATGCTCGATAAGCATGTCTACCGTCTGAATAAGAAATAACATCAAATAAAGCGGTAAAACAAATACGGTAATCGTAAGGCTTGTCCGATCGGACGAAGCGACCGTCATGGAATGAACTGTAGACGCCCTCAGCAGAGTAGCAAGATATAAAGAAAAATTCTACGACTCTTTAGTGAAAAAACACCAACCCCAAAACTTGGCAAGGAAAGTCGAGATCGTGTTCGGTAGTACGAGCTGCTTGTCCAAAATAAGCTTGCGTACACTAAGCGGTTCCTTCTGCACTTGTACATTAATTGCGCCTAATAATGCGTCGAGAACCTTTCTATCTATGTTCTTTTTGTTGTCGATAGCCTGAAACAGTAGTGATTAATCTGCTTTTCCTTAAACAGGCCAATTAGTTAAATTAAATCATAAAAAATCAATGATCAAGAAAGGCAGTGTCTTACGTCTGAAACGTATTCTTCTAATTTATTCAACAGAGCTCCAGGGCTGGTCAATTCTGCCTCTCTTCTCTTTATGTTTGTCCTCCTTTTGTGATGGTTTCTCTTCGTTCTTTCCCTTAACGATGAGCTAATAGAAAACGAGAAAAGTGAAATGAATGATAGACCTACATTAATGACAGCGACATCGGAGTCATTAGAGTCATTGCCTTTTAACTTCTTTGCTGGAGGTTCGCTCACTTCTTCGTCAATCTCAATGCATTCCACATCGCTTGAGGCCGAGCCACCGTTTGTTGCTAAAATGAGTAATGGAATCAAATACGATAGGTCACACCCTAAAGTCGCGACATTGACTACCCAGCAATGACAGCTATGATCTCCGAAAAATCAGAGCACAGTTGGACTGGTGCCAACATTACCATCACAAAAAGGACGCGAAAGGAACAGTAAACCCCTCAAATATGGTAGCATTGTGCTGTCCCCGAGCCCATTAGAATCTAAGCGTCAAAACATGAAGTGGCACCGAAAAGTGTTTTCGAAAAAGACTCTAAAGAACCTCAGAGGAACCCGAAGGTTCCTGCAACATCACCTCTCCCTTCGGTGATTGAAACCTTCCAGCCTCAAATTTTGTTAATTCATGCATAATTTCTGGTTTAACTCTCCCTTTATACAGCATGGCATTTCTTTAGAATTCTAAAAGGATAAAAGGATAAAGTCTTCGCCGTTGATCAATCCCTTTGTGGGATGCGGCACGCATTCTACTTCCATTCAGAATCGTAGTGGCTTTATTGAATGCGATGTGGCCTATACAATGACTTGCGGTGGCCAGCCGATGTACAAGTCAGTGTTTTATCCTCCCAGACGAATCTGGTACCAATTTACCGTCCCCGGAGGGTAGAAGGCTTGGTTGTGTGAGCGCAAGCATGCCACTTGCTTGCACTCCTCCGCCTTTCTAAAGCGTCATCATAGAAGAAAAATTCAAAAAATTGAAAAGACATGAATCCCAGTGAGGGGAAGCGGCACAGCACGGAATATGAACTGGGTTGTGTTACGTTATGCCTTGACCCCGATCTCCATACAGATGTACCTCTTCATGTATACGCACACTTTACATTTTCCCTGATCTCGCTTACCTTTCAAAAAACGCCACCTCTTCCAGAAAATTTGAAAAACTGTTTTTCAAAAGATTTTTCTCTCGACGAAATTTCCAGCCGCGGGCCCCTCATATTTTTTTAATTGGCGTGATAAGAACATCTCAACGAAAATATTTTAACCAATAAGAAAGTACTTCGTACCGGCACTAGCATCATCGGAAGTCGTTGATGCGTTGTTTACTGGAGAAGGTGAGGCCTCACCGTTTTCCTTGTCTTCTACTCCGGCCTGGTCGTCCTTCGAGTCGTCGCCATCTCCAGCCGCTAACCGATTTTCGGCCTTCAGCTTCTAGAAACAAAAGATTTCAAATCCACCTCTGCAGGACTCTAGCCATCGGTTTGAAGTACTGGGAATGTAAATAGTCAGGCCCTCATTGGCTTGAGGTAACCCATTTATGGACGGTACGGACCTGTATTTGATCTTCCTGGGTGGTTGTTTCATGAGGAGAAAGAGGTGTTGTGGGTGCAGAATCGTCCATAGTTGTCACCATTGACACAACGTGTCACCTCGGAAGTTCCACCTTGTCCTGAGAAACAAAGAGGAGGACCTGGAATGAAACCGTAAAAATGCGTCTCATCGAAATCGTTTCTGGAGGTGAAATAAATGGTTGCCGTGAAGGACCATGAGAGAGGACCTGTGGGTGGCCTTTGGTCCGAGCTGACGGGCAAAAAAAGATGACG